CACGACCACGACCACGACTACGACTACGACTACGGCTACGGCTACGACTACGACTACGACTACGACTACGACTACGACGACGACGACGACGACTACTACTACTACTACTACTACTACTACTACCACTACACCTACCACTACCACTACCACTACCACTCCCACTACCACTACCACTACCCCTACTCCTCCTCCCTCGCTGCTGCTACTACTGCTACGGCTGCTAATTGTTGCACATAGTACTGGCCACCTCTTTTCTCCTGGTTTAGGTTTTCAACCACGTCTTCGGAAGTGGACCAAAGGGCAACCACAGTGTTTTGGACAAGCATCTTGGCCTGCAGACAGCACAAACCCCACGAAGCCGCCCTCAAGTGCGTCTTTATGCAAGGTTACTGGGCTCGGGAGGGTTGATTGTTGCCGGGTTTGGGCTTATGGGCACTAAGGGTTTTAAAACTTACAAAGCCCGCAAGAGACCCCCTACGATACCCCGCAGAACCCCGTTTTATTTCTTCAGTCTTCCCTTTTTGGCAGGTGGGAGTTGAAGCGTAAAGCTTAGAATAGAGGGGTCGGAATGATTGTGCCCGTAAATGATATATTGGTAAGAATAATAGTAATTACAGGATGCTAGCAATGACAATCATAACAATAAGAAGAATGATAATGACTCCATATCGTCCCGTTTTGTATGATCCTAGAAGATGCACCAATGCCCTTTTTTTTTTTTTTAGAGATTGAGGCCCCTGTACTACCCCCCAGGCTACCTCCAGTCTCCATTAGAGGTCCTATGATTAGTTATTTGATAGGGTCCTGGCTATGAAATTGGTTAATTAAACCAAAAGAAAGAACTACAATGAATGGCGCATACTTACAGGTAGACGCAGTTCAAAGGGCGAAGGGGAATTCACAGCCGCTAATTGGCCCAGTCCAGCGGAAACCCTTAGACCTGGAACCCTGGATACCCTGAAGCCCCAAACCCAAAGTTACCATGCAGTACTCACAGGGTTAAGGCTTGGCGATAACACCCAAAGCCCCTAACCCTCAATAACCACAAGCCCCAAAGCCTTAAACGCCCAAACCCCTTGAACCTTAAGAGGATAGTGGCGGCCCTACTCCCGTGCTTTGTGATAAGGGCCTGCCCTTTTTGGGTGCAAATCTTGGAGCCGCTATGATCCAAAGCTTCGCAACTCAAGAAACCCTAAACCCTAAACCCTAAACCCTAAACCCCTAAACCCTAAACCCTAAACCCTAAACATAAATCCAAACACCAGAGACTCGTTGCTGCAGGCCTCTCCTTTCAGGGGGCTCTATCCAGAGTTTCATAAGGGTCTCCTTTGGGGGTCAACAGGGGTTCTATAAGGGTTTCTGCAAGGTACCAGGGTTCTGTATGGGGTTCTTATGAAATCCCTTTCATAAACGTTCGCGGTTCCCCGGACCGTAAGCCCTAGCTACACTCTCCATTGTAGTTCCCTTTCAGTGGTGAACCAACCGCTTGAAACTGGTTAATTCTAGGACATTTTCAGGTGGGTAGTTATCGTTATAGGAGCCTTATAGAAGGTCTATATACTTTATGGAAGCCTTGTAGAAGCCCTATATACCCTAAACTCCCCACCTGTAGTTTCCTTTAAATCAACCCAACAGAGGAACTACAATGGAGACCACAGGCAACCCTCAGCCTGGAAACCTGACCCGACAGCCCTGCACCCCTAAACCCAATGTTTGTATATACTCTATTCTAACTTACTTCCCCAATAACCCAACCTTTAAACTTTTGGGGGTCGCATAATTTATCAGTAATCTGAAAGTTTAACCCTTTACTTCCCTGACTTATTGAGACTCCAAAAAATCGAACCCTAGAGTGGAACCCCCTAAACCCTAAACCCTA